CTTAGATGAAAGAGCTCTAGTTTTTTACTCAAAGCGGAATATTGCCACTTATTTTAAGTATTCTGTATATTTGTATGAAATTTCGGTATACTTTATTTAAATATATGTATATTTAATACAAGAACGCTTATACTTCAATTTAAGTATAAGACCTCTAGAACAAAGAATACAATACTGTATTTAAGTATAGCTATTATTAAAACAAATACCTAATTCTTCGCTTAAGTAAATTCCGTCCACCCTCTAAGACCGCTTCGCTAAAAGAAAAGACGCAGTTTCTGTGTTCAGTTCTGTCCTGTGTTGTATTGTGGTAGCGTGTGTTCGTTTTTTTCCTTTTTCGGTCTGGATGTTATTTTTAATAAAAAATAATGCATGGAGAAGAAACTAAAAAATTGGGGCAGAATGTTTACTAGACACATTTTTGGGTAAGTAAATAATATTTTATTAATTTAAAGTAATTAACTAGGCATGATCGTAAAAATGTAGTGTAAAATGGATAGGTATACTGTAGTGTAAAATGGATAGCATACGACAGGTAATAGACAATAGCACATAAACAGCAGAAAGGCCTCCAATTCAGCTATATTATTTTTGTTTTAGAAAACGAGATAGATCTCGATATTACGGTAAACCTAAGCGAGGAGAATTTAAAGGAAATAATTCCAAAAATAGGATGAGGATCAAAGTTAGAGAAAAAATTGAAGAATTAAACCAAACCATCTACGATGATAATGGTAGGCTTCTTAGAGACTCATTTTACAAATTATTTAGCTGGAGATAAATTTTACTGACAATAAAAATACCTACTTAAAAAAATAATAACTAAGTATTCTGATTAAAAACCTTACCTTTACATATAGAACCAAAAATGTGATACCTAGGTACTTAAAAAAAATAAAATGTAAAATATAGTATCTATGCTAATTAACCGTGAAAGAATGAATTTATATAAATTGACAGTACTTTTTCTAATACCTCTAAGACTGTTAGGTAATAAACCTTTTGTGATATCAGTGCCTATTATACTTAGTACTTTAGTACATTAAAATAATTAAAATAATCTGCCAAAAATACTGTTAAATTACTGTCATAACGAATATACTTATTTTCACTTTCACTTGTATTTTCCGTAGTGGTAGGATAATTAAGTAATACAAATATTTTTCAGGGTCACGAAGGTTTTTTTTGTAAAAATTATTCCGAGTCGCTAGACGAGGGAATTTTTTTTTCCAATCAACCACTTTCTTTAAGAATAGTGTAAAGTTATTTTAAATATATACTATACTTTTATCAAATATAAAAAAAGGAAAAGTAAGAATACAAGCATTTTATGCAAGTAAAGCGTGTACTTACAATAAGTATAAATAAATATATTTTAAAGAAAGTATATTCTTAAAACAAGAATACTGTAAAGATTTTACAAAGAAACTATACTTTGATGAAGTACATACTAACGTTACAACAAGAATACCGTAGTCTTCATTGAAGACAAATTTGTATACTTAACTCAATATTAGTGTGTTTCTTATTTTTAGTATAGCAGTAATCTTAGATTAAACCGAAGCTATCTTTATTTTATAAGAATATGAGGATACTTGAAACAAGTATAAATTTACTTGCGGAATAGGGAAACTAAGCTATACTTGGATAGAGTTGAATTTTCTTGGAATCAGTATAGATTTTTTTCCGTGTAGTATAACAATATTTGTCAATTTTAATAATAAATTTTACTAATTTTACAAAATATTGTATTGTATTGTTGTAATATTAACTTTTTGTACACAGTACAAGTACACAGAAAAAAGATTATTTTTAAAACAAATAAAATACTATTGTTCCAAGCAAATCTTAGTTTTCCATATACACAAATAAATGTTTTTTTCTTACAAGAAATTTATTTATTCGAATTGTAATGTTATGTTAAATCCCTAAACTTCTTAAATTGAAATTCGTCAATTTGCGGTTAAACTTTGTTAATTCTTATTCTGTAGCTATTACAACTTTGAGTTAAGACTGTTTTCTTAAAATAAGCAGAATATTTTTCAAAAAATTCATTTTAATTTTTACAGAGAAAATATAAAGCTGATGCTCTCCAAATGATTAGAATACTGTTCTTTCTCCCTTCACAGGGATGCTTTTTCTGTAACTTGTTTGTTTGTTTCGTGTTTCTAATAGAAACTTTCTATCTTGGGTAGAGTGCAAAACCTGCAAAATAAATTGCAGAAAAATATTCTTGGTAACCTAACACTGAATGAAGACCCAAGTTATCTCCAATTAAACAAACGACAACAAAATATACCACAATTTCACCACCATTAATTACACCGAGAACTTGCACCAGTCAAGACGAAGGGGATGGTACATTAGCGCATGCGTGGGTTTATTCAAAACAAACATACTCTTGAATCAAATATATTTTCTTGATTTAAAAATTGAGAATTTTTAAAGGAACCATATAACTATTCAAAATGAAAATTATATTCTATCTGAACAAATACATTTTGTCGTTGAAAATTTTCGCCTGAAAAAATCGTTGAATCAGTTCAAGAATAAGTAAATTACTAAATATTTTTAGTGTAATTTGTTGTACAAAATAACAATATTTGTATTGTAATATTGCGAAACGATTTTTTTTTCAGTTCAGTAAAATTGTAAAATATATTTTGTAATTTTCTTAAACTGAGTTGAAATGAATTGTATAATATAATTAATACGCACCATTTTAAAATTACTAAACATATTTAGTATTTTTTTTAGCAAAATTACAATACCCGTATAGTAATGTAACTGGACAAATTTTTAATAAATGCTTAGTGAGTTTCAACAAACTTTTGTAATTCTCAAATTCAGTGTAATATTGATCTGATTTATTTTAAGTAAAGGCACTTTTCTAAAAACATTTAATTTTGTGAAATTTGAAGAAGAAGGATATTAAAGGTATAAGAAATGCCAACACAGGTTCACCCAATGATAATGGAAGAGGAAAACATAACAATGCGGAAATTGGAAGAAGAAATTAGCAAAATTAAAATGGGAAAATAGAGTGGATATATATATACGATAAAATTGACCCTGAATTGATTATCTACATATCTAGGAAAGAATTGGAAGGAGTGGTTGTATAGGATTCTAAGAAAATGTTGGGCAAATGAAGAAGAAGAAATTGGTTTATATCTCCATTATTTAAAAAAATATCACTTAAATTAAATAAAATATGGCTTAATAATAATCTTGTTAATATGCAAAACTAAATCTTTAAAATTGTTACTATTAACCGTTATAAACCAATTTCAACACCGTTATTAGTACGAATCATTATCTTGTAAATCTTTGGCGATATTTCCGATAAAAAGTTAACTAAGTACCTTGTTAACATAAATTTAAACTGCAAATAAACATACAGTACCTACGTCAACTTAACTTTGAATACAGCACCTGCCCTAATGTTTATGTACTACCTGTTTCGGTAGCAAATCGACAGAGAAAAATTTATTAACGCGGCATGTGTAAGAATAAATTTTCGGGTGGGTACTTGCAACACATTTACTTGAGTATTCACCCTTCAGTTCTTACAATAACATGTGCATTCAATTGTACTCAAGTTATAAAGGAAGAAATATAGACAGTCTTTCAATTAAGTGAAGCTAGAAACATCATTAGATGTGCAAATCAGGTTTGTTGAAGAGGAACTTCATATCTAGTGATATGAAAAGCCCAAAAATGGAACAAATAGCACAGGATAAAACATGACGTCATTTAGTTTTAGCACCAGTCTTAAAATGATATTTTAGTCACTGACAGCATGCGTTAACTTTTTGCCCAACTGTTTGACGTGACGTAAAACAATGGAGTGTTTAAAAATCAAAACAAAAGCTTCGTGGAATTTTTTACGTAAAAAATCTGGTCATGAAAAGGCGATTATTGTTCAGCATCGATCGTTTGAATTTTTCCATATCGGTATAAATGTAAACATTTACGAGCCAAAAAAACGAAAAAACCATTTTATCGACGACTGTTACCTAAAGGTAAACATTCTTGTTTGAAGGGGTAAAAAACTTCTGCGCCTTGAGCATTGACACAATGGTTTCCTTAAATAGTGACAATAAAGCTTTCGTCAACGGAATACATCATGAAATCTGATGTTGCGGACGAAAAAACAGCAGCCCATTCACCTGATGACATACGCACAGGAATCCAAGTAAACGCTCACATCGAGACGGCGCGGTCGATTTATAGGCAACCGCGAACGCATTAGCGAGTGTTCGGGATTTTACTACTTTGCCACATTTTTTACCAACAGGGTTTACACTCCTGTCCTAAATGATGAATTCGGTTTTTATGGTCTATGGTTTGTTAGGAAAGTTGAGTTCATTTCACGACATCTTATGGTTACGTTCATTATGAATGAGCACTTAGTGCTATCAATATATTAATTGACTTTGAGTTAAAAATTGTTAAAAAGGTTAAAGTAAACCAAAAACTACCAAATATTACCTTCTTTAACGTTCATGTTACCAGTTGTTCTACGTTCTTTTCAATTTGTTTTGAAGGCTTGTTGTAACGACTGATTACCATGGTAATGAGTGCACCCACCCCTTCAATAAAAGCGTTTCAATAACCCCTGAGGTTCACCGTCGAAAAAAAAAAAATCGTCATCCTGTCGCGTCGAAAGGGATTCGCGTGCAAACTCGATGTTCTTCGTGTTCGAGCAGTGCGGTTAAAACTTACTCCTCTCTCTTGACTCGCTTTGCCGTTGGATTTTGACGCCTTAGGGCGTTCGGCTGCTACTCGGAAAGAGCGTAATTGCTCTTTTATTGTTCTCAATCCCAATACGAGAACCGTGCCTCGGGTGCAGCGAGACCACTATGATAATATCAAGTGCCCCGAGATCATTCTTCATTTAATTACTTTGTTGTGGTTTGATTTAAATACTGAGCAGTTTTCGATACCAAATTATGACCACATTATTTTATGTTTAACAATGTGTTTTTTTTTTACAGGAACTCTAAGGCCCCCAGGACTTATTGGAGGCAGTAAACCAAAAGTAGCTACTCCAGCAGTGGTGTCGAAAATAGAGCAGTATAAACGCGAAAATCCTACGATTTTCGCATGGGAAATCAGGGAAAGGCTTATATCAGAAGGTAAATAAATTACAATATATGAATTACCCATTTCAGTATGCAAATATTATATGCTGCAGTCTTCTTCATAAGTATCTGAACGAAAATTCAGAAAGACTGGACATGTCAAAGGTACTCCAAAACCTGACCTTCAGAGTACTAGTGAAGACACTAAAATTTACATTTTGTTACGTTTGGAAGAAGATTCTCACAGTGCTTCTAGCATAGTCGCATAGTCGTATTATGAAGAAAGAACTTAACTAAGATGATCCGGACAGTAGACTACAATTTTGTGAAACTATCATGAATTTATGTAACAATAATCCACTCTTTGAATGGTACAGCCAACCGTCAAAATTATAGATACTGGAGCAGAGAAAATCCTTATTGGGTAGTAGAGGCAAATTTCCAATACCGACAAAAAGTGAACGTCTGGGAATCTGGGAGGACAAACTTATTTGAAATTATTGAAAAACTATATTCTTCCCCACAGCAGAAATGTTTTCCAATGAGAATTAAGGTTCCGATTTTTTGGAAAAAAGGCACATTTTGTAATGAATTTGTTCCATACTTGTATACGCTGATAAAGTTAACATTTAGACTTCAGTTTCTTTAAAACTTTTTGATATGGCATTTTAGCAAGAAATGCCTATTGAATGTAAAAGAAACTTTCGTATTCAACAATGATGCGCCCCATATGCGTAATAATCACCATTATTAAAGGCAAAATGTGTTGTTCGACATTTAATTCAACCACAATAGGAAGTCCAAAAATGTCGAACACGACAAAAACATCAGGAATAATTGAATGCTTGCGGTTTATTCAAAAAACATTCACACACACCCGACCAAACATTTAGAAATTACACGGGTTCAAGTCACGGAAGTTTTTAATTTTGTTCTTACTATTTAGTTTTTCGTTATTGTTATTATCTTTGGTGGCACGCACACGTAGAAGAGAAATTTATGTTAAGGCTACTCAAAAATTAAAATTATTAAGTCTGGAAGATTTAATCTTTGAACGTTAATAATGTTCAAATCATTATTATACTTTTTCTACGACAAATACATTTGTATATAGCGACATCTATAAAACAATAGAGTAACCAATTCAAAAATCTCAAATGTCAAATTTTTATGTGTAAATCGAAATGTATCCCTTGAAAATGATATAGAAGCTGTTTTTCACAGTGAAAGTAATAATGTAGTAAAGGTGGAAGTAAAAAAATCGGTTAAAATGTTCATTGGACATAATAATTTCAATAAGGATTTTGTATTGATCTTTAATAATAATAAATTTTGTGTTTGAGTAACACTTTTATTAAACTTATTGGTTCCTTTATTAAAAATTAAACGTGACTAATACGACATAGAAATACTTTTGTACTTTTTAAATTAGTTAATTTAATACGGAACCAAGTATTTTCAATGATTTGTTCATTAAATAAAATTACTACAAATAAAAACCATTGTGCACTGAAATTAAATTACATTTTTACAATAATAAACTGTTAAATTTGATTATGCATAACATTTTACTATAGATTAATAAAATTGTTATTTTGATATTGATCAATTATTGACATAGATATTTCGAAAAATGCTTATTGTGACTATTGGTTGAAATTTGTCCTGTTATCAAATCGTCTGGTCAAAAATCTAGTAATACACAGAGAAAAATTTGTTGTTGTTAAAATAATTTCTCCAATTTATTTAAAATTTTTAATAATTTTTGGGATGCTAGGGTGGTAAAAAGGAAAATGAAACTAAATTATTAATTGTATATACCATGTATTCAGCGTCTTACAAAATACAAAAAAAAATGAAAAATAGAATACCTAAATTGACACTGACAACATAAAATAAACATAACAAAACATAAACTACAAACTGAAAAATAAAATTCGTATAGCTAATTCTAATAATATTGAGATATAATAGTACAAATGTCGATAGATTAAATTTTAAGTTAATATAAACTGAAAATATAAAATAAACATAAATTACAAACTAAATAGTAAGCTGATTAATAATGTAGCACAGTAGGAACATAGAAACACTTTTTATCCTCATTTGATCATAATTATTGATTTATTCCAGTCCCTGAACAATTTTGCAAATATCTACCTACCTATTCGAAAAAATAATATTCAATAATTACTCATCAGAAATGTGGTACTTACCTCACAATGATACACTCTAAAACTGCAAACTGATGATGCAGATTGCAGTTGAGCGACCGGCCGGCGTCTTATTTCAAGCGGGAAATCATTTCATTGGTCATCTTAGGTGGTGTGATGCTTCACACCCGAACAAATTGTCCAATATTGTAAAATTTATAAGTTTCTTCTCCTTGTTTAATCAACATAATTGTTATAGTAGCAGTTTACGGTCTGGTGAGCAATCTAGTTAACTAAAAATCTTCACCAACTGAAATTTGTCACAGACACAATTTTGGCTCGCGCTGTGCGGAAAAAATCGTCCAAGAACGGGGTAAAAATAATAGTAGGCAGTGCCGGACGAATAAAGGAGACCACCAGAACGATTTTAACCGGAATTACGCTTTGCCAAACCGGAATAAATCACGATAAATTCAAGAAATAATCAAAACGTATGTCTTCATCATAAAACCGCTTCATAAATATCGCAATTACAACAAGTCTTTCAGTGAGAATGATATAGAGTACTCGAACCGAAAAAATGATTCCCAACAATTAAATTGAAAGATTGAATGAATCGATGAACGTCTATATAATTTGATTGCACACTTATCCCAACAATCAAGTGGTATTAGGCTTTACAGTTTTTCAAGAGGCTTCACGATCCAAGTTGTTGCAAAGTCTATTGTTCAACGAAGTTTTTATGCGAATCAGTGTATTCTATTTCAGGTTGTTTAAACTGGTTTCACATTGCAATGACAATGCGAAATTTCAATTATGATTTAATATGGGATCTATTTACAAGGAGGTAATGCTGTTTAGTGGTCAGATAGATCATTATCAACATGTGTTTAAGATCATATTGCCATTAGGGATTGCAATCCAGTAGGGTTTTTAATCCAGCTGGATTTTTGCTGGATCAACATCAATTATTATTACAAATATTACAAGTTTTGTGTTTTGTTTGTCCCCAACTACTGTAATGTAATGTATCAAGCGAAAGCGAAAAGTGCAGTGTAGAAGGGGTAACGCTGCCAACGTAGACTTTTGTGCTATTATTTTGGAAAGTTATTTATTTGCGAATCCAGGGGGCTGGTTCTAGCTGGATTGCTGGGCAAAGAAGGAAATTGTTCTAAAACCTTTCTTCTTGTTTCAGGGGTATGCACAAATGCGACCGCTCCTTCGGTGTCCAGCATCAACCGGATACTTCGAAACCGCGCCGCCGAGAGGGCGGCTGCCGAATTCGCTCGCGCAGCCGGTTACGGTCTGTACCACCCGCACCCGTACGCAGCTGCGGCAGCTGCGTTTCCCTGGCACTCGCCGCTGTGGCCTAACGGCCCGTTGGGTTTGCAACCGCCTTCTGGGGGTGGGAGTGTGATGGCGGCCGGGTCGCCGACCAGTTCGGGATCTCCGCACCCTGGTGATCATGGTTTGTTGAGCTCACCGCCGGGGGTGCTGTTGGAAAAGGACGATTCGAGCTTGGATAGCAGCGAGCAACCCAAGTTCAGAAGGAACAGGACCACGTTCAGCCCCGATCAGTTGGAGGAGTTGGAGAAGGAGTTCGAAAAGAGTCATTACCCGTGCGTTTCCACGAGAGAAAGATTAGCTTCGAAGACGTCGCTATCGGAAGCTAGAGTTCAGGTAAATATACTTTCACTTTAATTCGAGACGAGGTCTTAACATAATTTTGATGTTAGGTTTGGTTTTCCAACAGACGCGCCAAGTGGAGGCGACACCAAAGAATGAACCTCCTGAAACAAACGTCGCCAGGTCAGCAGAGCAGTCAGTCTTCTTTGTACGGCGGCCGGTTGACTCCTTCGCCGCATTACAAAACCGTTTCCACCCCTGGCTCGCCGCACACGCAGCGCACCCCCGGTTCCTCCCTGCTCCTCCAAATGGGCGGAGAAAATAGCGCGTTCAAAGCCCTGCACCTCATGAACTCGCACGAAAACTACCTGACTGATTCCGAGGAGGAGATCAACGTGAACGACGAGTCCGACGTCGAAGACCAGCCGAGGTCCAGGTCCTGCAGCCCAGTGGAGGTGGTGGACGACAACCCGCCCCCCAAAGACAGCCCTCCCTCCATATGTCAGCCCCTGCAACTGACCATGCACGACAGGCAATAGAAGAAGATAACGCTCCATCTACCAAAGCTATTAACGAATTGTTTAATGTAAATATACCTGAGTTTAAGGTTCCTTGTACATTTGTGATCGATTTTTTTCGTTTCGTCTCCCTTCTCCCCCACTTTCGGCACTGCATTTGTATATATTGTTTAAAAATCGTACTATGTTTAAGTTTTAGCGATAGTTAAATTATTACCATTCGATATATTGTAAGTTATTTCAATCTTGATGAATAAACACACTATTGATATACATTTGGGTTTCATTATTCCTTGTTCTGTTTTTCAGGAAAAAAATAATATTGTTTTGTAAAAAACAATCTGAAAAAGCGTTTATAGGAATATCAAATCACTAGGTTCTAGCCTCAGAAACTGCCATTGGAACTTTATTTGCTGTTCAACTGAGGTATTGAATTTTAGGGTGAAAGGGTCCATATTGTCAAATGACAGTATAATTGGCGTCTTGCATTCTAGAAGTGATACATTATGGTGTCAACATGCTTGATACAAAATATTCAGGTGATTAAACAAATATTAGTAATACTCCCCAACACCAAAACAATTTGAAGTACAGTTTTAGAAAAATCCCTTCAAGACATCCATACTACTAGATTGGTGGTTGAAAACCTTTGTTTCTAGCAACGTCTTTTATAAAACTTAGATCTTTCTTGTATCTACTGTTAGTAAATGGAAAGTTTACTAACCTACGAACAACAAAGTTAAAACTAGCCTGCTTATGTGCAGTGGTTCTAGTCTGAAGTGATTTAACCTGTGCTTGTAGGTTTTCTGTAGATATCGAACTCCACAGTATTGTTAGATCTAATCACTAGGATATCTAAAAATGGTGGCTGGCCAAATAGCAAAGATATCGTCCACGTATCTTAACTAAACAAGGAGTTCCCCATAGCAGTCTGATGCTCTTCAAGTTTTCCGCAACAGTCTGATTGTAAAAACTATTTTCTTTGAGTAAATCCTCTAGATAAGTGAATGTAAGTGGTACTGGGACAATTGGAAAAAGAGAACGAACATCAAATGAAACAGTGTAACAAGTTTAGGTGATTAATTTGTTTCTAAATATCTTCGTTCAGTATTTACTTGTGCCATCACTAATTTGCAGAGAGCTGTTGTAGATTTGATAAGTATCCAACAAAAAATAAGGGCAACTTTTTGGTAATAAAGTCGTCGAAAATAAGATAAAATGGTTTCACATCACTACGGTAAAACAGAGTGTGAAAAGTATCAGTTTAGGTTGCGTCAGCAGCATTCTTGCGAGAAGTAGTTTATTGAAGGTTCGACCATTTCTTGTTGTGTTTCTGGCGTTATCTGCCTACAAGTATCGCTCTCGGTCGTAAATTTCGCTGCTACCATCCACTTTCCGACACTCCCAGCGTATTGTGTTTGTACTACACGACACCGAAAGCAATTGAAACTTTAAAGAATCAATAACATTGTTACTGGCAGTAAACAAGAGTTCCGAATCAGAACTTTTTTATTGGTTTGTTGATGAACAAAAATAATGACGTTAATTGCTCTATAGAGGTTTTATAAAACCTTTTATTCTGACAATCTTAATTAAGCAGTTACTTAAATAAAGGTGTTTCTTTGTTTCACAACTTTGTCTCTCTCGGACACTTTAATTATTTCAAAAGGTAGTTTCGAACCTAATCGAACAAATAAATTACGAAAGCGTCTGCAACTTCATCTTGTCGAAGGAAAACGGTCTTTTTTGTCACGCGATCCACTTTGCTCGAGGACTAATTTGGGACCTGCACAAAAGAGACGCTATTTACTTTGTTAAAGGCATTTTAATTTTTACTTTATAAGTATAAAATAAATAAATCTTTCACAATAAAAATTTGTATTAATTATGGTAAATACAAGTTATATAAAGGTTATATAAAGGTATTCAAATTATATAAGACTATAACAAGGTTTTATAATGGATATATAACCTCTAGTTATTTAATTGGGTCATATAATTAATTGTTCCCACAAATATTTTATATAATCTATAGTACCTAACCGTTACCAGTAGGTTTACAAAAGTTTTATAAAGTTTGCGGTTACCTGTTTTAAAAAAAGAACTGTAATACCATATGAAACAGTTATACCAATTGCTAATACAAAAAATGCTACCAACCCAATCAATTTGTCAAAGTATACATAACCTAAAACTAAATGATTTTTGGTATTATCATTGTCAAATTTCAAACGTAATTTTTCTGTTAAATTCTTAATTTCCAAAAATGGTGAAGAACGACATATACAAGGAACAAAACCTCAAAGAAGACAAATACTTCCACATCCAGGAATCATACGTTCATAATTTTCAAACCCCATGCCTAACCAACAAATTCTACTCAAAGTACGAAGGTAACCTAACGGATTGCGACCCGAAAATTTTGGAAGAGGTGCGCAGAAGAGAGAAATACGGCCCCAAAGAAAAATACCCCAGTCCTGTGACTACCAGCATGGAGTATGGATGGTATGCTCCCTACATGGAGAGAGATAAGAGGTTCTACTTTAACAGCACTTCATCTCCCTACACAAAAATTATGTTGGATTTGATGAAGCAGAACAAAACCGAGAAAAAGTTTGCGGGGGTGCCATTTTTGCTTCAATAAAAAATAACACAAAATTCATTTTTGCTTTAGTGTACATTGAGAAAATAAACTCATTGAGAAAAAAGTTCTTAGTGGAAGAAGTAGGTATAGTTCTCTTGAAAACAAATTCAAAATCTCTTCAATGTTTCTTCTTTCAACCAAGTGCAAAGTGTTTTTGTTCAAAAGCTATAAAAATTATTCATATTCACGCAATTCATTCAAGATACATCGCAATTATCCCACTTCTGATACATGGGAGGGGATGAAAAACGCGCACTTCGTTTGCGGCACACGTGTTTAGTACGTTTTGTATCATTGCAACTTGCAATTCAATTTTCTTTCTTAGAAAGTTACAAGGCTTTTCAGTTAAGAGATGCGGTTTTCTTGTTAAAATCCCATTCTTAATTTAAGCAAATATTGTAATATCCTTAAACGAATAGATTAATCTCTCGCCTCAAGTAATTAAAAAAAAGTATGTAAAGATAGGCCCTATTCAAAAGAGCAAAGCTTTTGAAGCAAAGTGATTTTTATTTCTTTTAATAGATTACTTTTTTCAGTGTATGCATTAAATATTTTAATAATAGTTTATTGAGTGGATTACTGTTTTATTTGCTGTGCTAAAATGCAAATTAAGCTATTATTTTTAAGTCAAAGTGTTTAAAAAAAAAAATACAAAAAACTCATTTAAAAAGTCCCATCTAGAAAAACCAAATAAAAAACCCAATTTCAATTAATAAAATCTGTATGGTGTCGGCAATTAGAGGTGGACTCGAATTTGGCAGTCGTTTCGACGCGCTTCAGGACCGCATATCTAAAAAAATTTCCATCAATTAACACTTAAGCCACTCTCGAATGTCCCCCGGTCCTGATTAAGATGTCGAATCTGGAGGAACATTTAAATTCAATCAAAACGAATCGGCCGAATAATCAAGCGCATTAATTTCCAACCGAAATTGTCCACATTTTTTTACTTTAAGATCGAAGGGTCTAATTTATTTCAATCGATGTTAATAAATTTGAAGTGTAAGGATACAATCTGTATAAGTATTTAAATATTCGGTTTTTTAAATTTTGAGTCACTACACCTTTATTTGTTTAAACATAAAGGTGCGGTGTCAGTGTTTATAAAAATTCAAGAAGGCATAAAATTAACTTTCCTTTTCATTTCATTGCATATCCCTATAGGGATTAGCAGTACTTAATGACGTAAAAATATTCAATCAAAATGCCTTTTATGTAAAATTACTTAATCTCGGTTATTTCATATGCAAATTTGCAATTTTAAAAGCATTATTAAGACCGTTATTGTCGAAAATTAATACATTAATATAATGGTGATTAAACGGTCCATTATTTCGAGTATTTAGGCCGTTGAAAAAGTGAAATTTTAGTACTTTGTTTAACCTAAAGAGTTAATTTGTTTTTAATAATCCGTTTTATGTAACGGTTTTGATTAAATTCAAAATGATTTAAGTAATTAATTACCTCTGGGTACAATTTTTATGTTTTTTATGAAATATGATGACAAAATATTATTAAGTGATTTATAGAGACCGTACTTTTAGGCACTTAAAAATTTAAAAAATATATCCATAAAAAATAGTACCAAGGCAGGCAAATTTTTTTGCAAAACCCATGGGTTAAATAGCACCAAAAATGTCCAAAACACATTTAGCACTAAAAATTTTAACGGCCCATCAAAATTGACGTTAGGCATTTTGCATAGAATCCGGTCTCTAATGATAAATTTAAAAAAAAAATATGGTTGTTAATTCTATTGGGTTATAGAGGCTTTTAAAATAAAATGGCAATTTAATTTTTTTGTTGAATATTTTTTCGAATTTTTATTAATTTTATTTAATACAATTTTAGAAAATATACGTCGGTTTTAGGACATTTTAGACATATTTAGAGTTTTAAGACCATTTTAAAATATGTTTTAGGGCATTTTAATTTTTTTTGTTGGTTTTATTGATTTAAAAACAGGCAGCTGCCTATAATAGTAAATTATGTATCAAGTTTGATAAACCCCATTCTATACTTGCGAGCGAGTGCTTAAATTAATGAGTGTACTTATAGAAAAGTTTATAAACGAGGTGCATACTATACTTTTTCTACGACAAATACTTATTATTATCTTAAAATGATTTAAATCAAAAATTTGTATAGAGCGCCATCTATGAAACAATAGGGGAATCTGTGTGTCACCGTCAAATGTCACATTTTTATATTTTATAAACACAGATTATAAAGGTTATAAATCGAAATGTATTTCTTGAAAATTGACAGTTTTTCACAGTGAAAGTAAAGAAAATGTTTTATGAGAACTTTACAGTGGAGTCCGTGCCCGAATTTAAGTTATAGTTTACTGCCGGCGAAATTAAAAGGCCAGTACAATGTTCATATAAACTTTTAAAATATTGGCGTTGAGAAACTATTTAATACTTTTGTATTGAGATAATAAAATAATTTAATTACAAGAAAGGCACTTTATTTTAATGATTGTATGACATTTGACAACTGTCAACTAACAAAACGAACTTCAGCCCGTGACTAAAAACCTGTTGCTAACTTCAGCCGGTGACTAAAGAGCCATAAAGCCACAACTTGTCAATGTGTATTTAAAAGGTCACTTAGTGTCATGAAAACATGTACGATAAAGGGCGTTTTAAAGGTGGGAGTGGAAAAACAAAAATAAATTTTTTTATACCAATATATTTAAAAATATATCGATATCTGCAGATAAATAAATCTATATAAAAATTGTCCTATTTTTTGATAAACATGTTTATAAAAAAATAGGACCATTTTTACATAGATTTAAGACTTTCTTTTAGAACATTTAGACAGAACCGTACTTTTAGGCAGTTTAAAAAGTTTTAAACTGGCAGTAGCAATATTTGACATTAATAGTACCCAAACATTTTTGTTAATTTTTTTGTTTGGTGAATTTTTTTGTTCGGTTCAACGTTACAATATTTAGTTAAAAATAAAGAGAAGTTAATGCTTTTTGAGAAATACCGAATGGCTCCTAAACAAGCATCCTCATTATATTAATCTAAATGACCAAAATCAATATGGTAACATATTTATCAAGTTTATTTGGAATATATGTAAATAATGTAGTGGAGCCCGTGAAACAAGTGAGGATGTTCTTTAATTAAAGAAAAGGTTATCTGATGGCTTTTACTATAAATTTTATTTATAACTTAACTTATTGACACCTCTGTATATATTTATACGGAATTAGTTCACGTTTTTATTACGATTTAGTATAATTTTCTCGTAAAAATATACGGATAATTTGTTTTGGGTTAACTGTTAAATTTTATTATCGAGCGAGATAAATTTTATTGGAACATTAAGGTTCGAGTCTCTTCAAAAGATTTTTTCTTCGACTCGACAAGAAACAATATGATATCTTTCCAAAACAGTATCGGATTCGTTAATCGCGATACCTATGCATTTCAATGTCGACACCATACATAACTAGATCATTACTATTCGTTTTATAAATAATCTAATAATGTGTTTGACATTCACCCGACCCAATCCTTAACAACGCCATTTAAATTCATTTACTGCCTGAGAATGTTCGAAAGCTATAAAAGTTATATTTAATAGAGATGTTATGTTTCAAGCAAATTTAACGTTACGAATTTTACTCGTAAACAGTACAAGTTTTAAATAATCTTAACAAAAGTCTTTTTTTTATTTTTTATGAATAAAGACATTTTAATGTGGTAGTTTTTGTACTGTTAAACTGAGTTTATACACTGAAAAAAATAATCTCTTAAAAGAAATGAAAATCACTTTCATTCAAAAGATTTGCGCTTTGGAATAGGGCCAAGAGCTATGTTTCTTAATCTAAATCATAAACTATCTTTACAAAAATTTATTAAAAAGAGTTTTAATGATACCAACCCCACTGTAAAAGTACATACAACACGCCACAACAAAACACAACCGGTAAAATGTATATTAGAAATACCTATAATAGAATTATAATATTATATCACTGCCCCTAGAAAATGACGAATTGTAAGTTGCAATGATACAAAACGTACTAAACACGTGTGCCGCAAACGGTGTGCGCGTTTTGCATCCCCTCCCATGTATCAGAAGTGGGATAATTGTGATGTTTCTTGAATGAATTGCGTAAATATAAATATTTTTATAGCTTTTGAACAAAAACACTTTGCACTTGGTTAAAAGAAGAACATTCAAGAGATTTTGTATTTGTTTTCAAGAGAACTATACTTCTTCCACTGTTTAAGCAATAAATACTCTTTTATGCTAAAATATTGTTTCTTGCCGCTAATAATTTTTTATCAAATAATGCAATAAAAAATAAATATAAAATTAAAAGGGGTGCACCTTTTGGTGGGTCCATTTAAAATAATAATGTTTTAATGGGATCGCGTTTTTTCGAACACCCATAATTGGTTAAATTCGGTAGCCTTCGGTAAAAAACAAAAACTCGGTGGTACCTGCCCCTTGTCAAGAATTTAGAGCCACCGAAAGAAGAAATTATACAAATATCCACAAATTTTCTTTTGTTTCGTGATCGCGTGTCGATTTCCGATCGTTTTTAGTGGGTCAAAATTTTTTGTCGATAAATTTTTCGATTTCGATTATTAAGTAAATTATATATTTTGTGTTTTTTCGTAGGAAGATTATGGGAATTAATCAAAAATTTTTGGAATCCAAGGGTTCATTTAATATATTATAAGAGCCATCGGAAAGTTTTAAAGAATCTTGGCACCACATCTTAATTTTTTGTTAATAAAAAAATAGGTAAGAAAATACATTTAAAAAAATAATGCCCTATAATGTCTTTAAAACTACAAAATTGTTATTCAAATTTTAACAAAAAAATATAAAAAAACAAGATGTAAAATTTAAATTAACATTATTTAATTTAATTTAAAATTAACCTTAAATATAATATCACTTTTTTCAGTTTCAAAATTAAAGTCAATTTTCTATAATTTGTGGAAAACAGTAAGATTTTATATTTA